TCTGTAGATGTTCATTGAAATGAAAAATAAATAAATTAATTAAAAAAAAGAAAAGTTTTATAAAAAATACCCACAACAAAAGTGGGTCCTGATATGTGCAAATGAAAAGGATTAGGGAGCTAAGGAAGGATGAGGGACCCTGATGGCAGAGTGTGTTACATCTGAGCTGTCAGTAGAAAAGCTGGTGGTTCAAATCCACCAGCTACTCCATGGAAGAATGCCAACGGACTCTCTTCCCATCAAGAGTTCTGGCCTTGAGGACCATGTGGGAGTCACCAGGAGTCAGAATCAACTCGTGCACAGTGGGTCTGGGTTCCGGTCAAGGAGGAACACACTGCAGAGTGTAGTAGAGCAATCTCCAGCACCTGACCAGTGTATGAGCCTCCTTAACTGGAGAATGGGGGTGAAAGGGGTGCAGCCAAGAGTGGAGGGTATCAGACAAAAACCACAGAACCTGCATGTGAGCACTGGCTGATAGAGCTGTTTCCATGAATATGTGGGCTAACAACTGTGATATTTCTTTACAAGGTACTGGAATGGAGCAACTGAGCGGATGGATGGCGTATGGTCAGTGCTGCCTGTGGGGTGGGAGATGACCGACAAGCAGATGTGAGAGAGGGAGGGAGGGAGGGAAGGAAGGAGGGAGGGAGAGAGGGAAGGAGGGAAGGAAGGAGAGAGGGAAGGAGGGAGGGAGAGAGATAGGGAGGGAGGAAGATGCAGAGACTGCAAGAGCCTGACATTAGAGACACCAGGAGGAACTATCTATCTTCTGAGAACTTGGCTGTTATGTCCCATTGAGTTGGGAGTGACCCCTAGCTCATCACCTGTGGAGATGTTTATAGACTTGTGCACACACAGCTTAGGGTCGCACATCACGTCAGCTGGAGGGACCGAGGAACAGCCGCCTCACAGGTATGAGCACACCCAGCATCTACCTCTTCAGTTCCAGCACCGACCGCCAGTCAAAAGAACCAGGCTTCTCTAGAGAAATGACTGATCCCAGGACAGAGACAGAGGATAAACAAGTGCCAAGAAGTCATCAAATGCCAACCTCTCCTCCACCTTCAAACACATTAAATACAGAACACTCCCTCTCCCTCAAAGGAGAGAGTTCTTTAATTTTTTTAACTAAAGAAACCCATTTGTTGTAATGTGAGTGAAAGTTTACAGAGAAAATTGGTTTCCATCCAACAGTCCACAAGCCTTTTGACTTGTGACAGTGACTGCGTCTCCACAGAGGAACACAACCCTTCTCACGTGTGCTAACATTTCCATCTGTCCTTCTTTGCTGTGACAAAGGAGAGATTTCAACAGAACACAAGAACCAACTGAAAGAACTCCCAAAGCCAGAACAGTCTGAGCAGAAAAATAAATACTGGAGCCTTGGGCCACAAGTGGAACACCCCTGAGCACATGCCAATATGACTGAACACATAATGGGCAAGAAAAGACAGAATTCCCAGGTAGAGCGATTCCAAATAATCAACGAAGCTCCCTTCCTAAGGGAGGTGAGGTTTAGCTTCCAGTCGGAAATGTGGACGGCAGCTGCCAGGCTTCTCTGAGGGGCACGGCCAGGGAAGGCTGCACGAGGCCACAGTGTGCTTTGTGAGCTTCAGGTATCTCTTAAAAAATCATGGGTTTCTTCAGATTAGGATAACACTCTTTGTTGTTGTTGTTGTTGTTGTTATGTGAAGTCCAGCCAACTACAACTCAGAGTGACCCTCTGAACAACAGATCTGAACCCCGCCCTCTCCTTCACCAGCCGTTGATCTCTGTCCTGCTCAAGCCCGTCGTGGTGGACACTGTCAGTCCATCTTGTTAAGGGTGTCCCTCTCCTCCTCTGAGCATGATCTCTCTCCAAAGACTGACTCCTCCTAAAAATATGCCTAAAGTGAGACCGCTTCACAAGCCTTGCCTTTAAGCACCTGCTGACTGCACTCCTTCCAAGGCACATGTTTGTTCTCTTGACAGTCCATGGAATAATCAATGCGCTTCTACCCACAACTCAAAGGAACTGATTCTTCTCCTGTCATCCTAATTCAGTACTGAACTTTCAGATGCATGGGAAGCAGTTGGAAACACCACGACTTGGATCAGGCACACCTTAGTCTTTAATCTGGCATCCTCTCTCTTTAGCACTTTGAAGAAAGATGTCCCTGACAGCCAATTTTCCCAGTGCAACACGTCTCCTGATCTCCTGACTGCTGCTCCCAGGGGTGTTCATTGTGGCTCCAAGTAAGATGAAGTTCTTGACAGCTTCAGTAGTTTCACCCTTCATCATGATTATTGCCTACTGGTCCCATTTTACTTTGGACACGTGGCCAGGAGAAATCGGTCCTTGGAGTAGGACATCATGCTCAGAAGGGTGGACAGACAGTGCAGGAGAGGAAGACCCTGGATGAGATGGATTGAAACAGTAACTGGTTCAATGGGGGTTGGTGTGTCGAGTTAGTGAGACTGGCTCAGGACAGGGCAGGATTCAGAGCTGCTGTACAGTGTTTTTATGCATCACAGGCGACTCAATGGCACAGAACAGAACAGAACAATAACATATTATGACAGGTTTGAAGCAGGAGTGGCATCCACTTCCTGAATAACATGCCTCCGGAAACTCTATGAACTTTGGTAAATGTCGATAGTTGCAGAGGGGCCTCAGGCCTTTTGTTCATAGAGTCACTATGAGTCATGCTCGACTCGACAGCAATCAATAACAACAACAACAACATGTTGAGATATAATCCATACTGAAGATCTTTGATCTTTGTCAACAAGTGCTTCAAGTCTTCATCAGTTTTCTACAAAAAAAAGGTTGTTTCCTCTACATAATGCACGTTGCTGATGATTCTTCCTCCAATCCTGGTGCCACATTCCTCCACACAAAGTCTAGCTTCTCAAAGTATTTGCTAGGCATACAGATTGATTGAATAGGTATCCAGAAAAGATACACATCTGAGCACACCTTTCCCGATTTTAAACCACACAGTGTTTCCTTGTTCTGTTCAGACAATTGCTTTTGGGTCTAGGTGTGAGTTTCACATAAGCACAATGAAATGTTTTGGAATTTCCACTCTTTTCAAGGTTCTCCATAATTTGTAATGATCCACACAGTCAAATATCTTTGCACAGTCAATAAAACACAAGGAAACATCTTTCTCGTAGACTCTACTATCAGCCAGGACTCATCTGACATCTGTAATGATCTCCCTTGAAGCACAGCCAACGTTCCTCAGTCAGTCACGTTTTCTGCTCCCGGCCACCCTGCAGGACTCCGGAAGTTAGTAAGATCATCTGTCAGAACACGTGGCGTGTTTTCAATGTGCTCTCCCCTTGCCCCTTCGGATCAAAAGGAAGCTCAGGCAATTTGGATTGCCTTCTCATCTAGGAAATCCTATAATTAAAAAAGGGGGGGCTCAAGGCTCCTCTGATAACGAAAGGGATGCACGTGCATAGTTGTCTTCCTTTCCCTCCCAACTATCTTGGGATTTCGAAGCAGAGTTGCTTAAGAAGCACGTTAACTGAATATTAACTGACAAGTACATAGAATCCTAGACATCTGCAGTCTCTGATTGGCTATTAAACACACACATCACTGCCGAGGATTCCACATGGAATCCCAGATCCTGAATAGTGGTGTGAGAAAAAGTGACATGAACCCCTAAGCAAGAAGAAGTCCAGGCTGAATGGGCTGATGAAGACTGACGGTACCCCTCCACCTGCAGCCCTCAATCCCCATCAAAACTAGAGCCAACTCAGCCTCTGTCCACCGTGCGTGGAAACGATAGGCCAGTCTGTGTGGTGACCAAACTCACCAGCGAGGAGCCTCTGCTTAGAACGACCAACTGCCTGACATCAGAAGACAGCATCTGCCCAGGGGTGAAAAAAAAAAGGCACAGGAGAAGAGGATTCCTATCAATGACAAGGAAGCAGGAACAGTGATACACTGTGGGTGTTACAGTTAACAAAACAAAGTATACAGGCGACTCATAGCGACCCTATGAACCAAAGGCCTGGACACCTCCTGTATAACTTTCGACCTCTCTACAAGATGGAAAACTATTTTCTTTGTGAACTTTATATAAAACACAAAAAGAAAAAGAAAACTGTCTAGTCACAGAAAATACCCCAAACCCTCATACATATCTGTTTCCAATCCCTTCACAGAAACTTGTTACAAAGCCACTAATGATTGAATTAAACCTTGACTTTGAACATGCAGACTCTAACGTATCCTATTGTAGAGAAGGATGGGCAGTCTTCTCCCGTGCGATCAGCTGCCTCTGAAAACCCACAGGAGGGTCAGCTATGGGTCAGTTCCGACTCGATGACACACAACACACTCTATTCATGATAAAGAAGGACTCTCCCAACTTCCTCTCGCCTTTGGGGGTATGTTCATGATACCCTCCCCTGTATCCCTCCTGTGGCCCAGGCCCACTGACGCCTCTTCTCCAAGTGGATGCCCAGAACCCACATCCAGGTGCCTGTCTGCGGAGAAGCCCCCACAGAGCACGTCTGTTTGGAGGGGTCATCCTCTTCTCACTACTGACGGCTGTGGAAGCCACAGCAGGTACATGTGTGTGTCACACAGCTCAGTAAATGTGTTACAGGACTGGCCCCTTGCAGAGACTGGATGTTCGCTTTGTATTCAGGAGTCACCAACGAAAAGAGCTGCGACACTCGGAGTGGTTCCATCCCAGGTAAGAGCAAAACTCATTGCACACACACATGAACACATGTGCAAGTGCGCGCACACACACGTGCCGGTGCGTGTCTGTGCTTGTGTGCGCGCGCGCGCGCACACACACACACACTCACACACACACTCCTACGTGAACTGATGGTTTGTTTTTTGCTTTTTCCCTTCCCAATATTGTCATTACTGTGGGAGGTTTTCAGAAGTGGGAGGGTTTTTTTATGACTCTCATACACAGACTTAGGTCTGTGGATCAAGAACCAGATTATCAATGGTGATTGTAAGAATGAAAGGGTTGCTATGAGTCACAAACAACTCGATGGCACATAACAACAACAACAATAATTCTTTCACCTCTTCTCTGCACCCACCAAACTCTGACACTGTGACACTCCCCCTTCTAAGCCCACCTGTCCCCTCCTCTTCCCTCTTTGGACATTTATACACATCTTACTAGTTATCCTTCTGGAAAGATTCTGGTTTCAGCCCCTTAATTAGGTCAAACCCAGAGAACATACCAACAACACTGCAGGTCATGCTGTTTAATTCATACTCAGGTATAAGCAGACTGAGACCCAAGATAGCATCAACATAGATAAAGGGTGAGCTTGAAATATTTATAGTCTCTGGACAATGGGAAATGTTACTTGACCTCGGGGCTGTGTGTTACTTGGGCCTGCCCCTCGTCCAGTCTCAGGGCCTACATGTCTTCTGGCTAGGTCTCTCATTTGTTCTGCTGTCTGTTGGCAGAGGCTGCTGACATAAATGGCCTTGACTTTTGGGACTGGGCTTTGGGAGAGGAGAGGTGATTTATCCGCTCTGGCTTTCAGACCCAAGGGAAAGCTTAACCTTCTATTTTTACTATAGTGGTTTTATGCAGTGTTTGTCCTTATGAGACTGAGTTAGTTCACTCAGAATAATGCTCTCTAGTAGTAGCTACCACTTCCATAATAGCTTGCCTCCAGAAACCCTATGAACTTAGAGAAACGACAAAAATTATGTAAGTGTTCAGGTCTATCACTCATAGGGTCTCTATGAGTCGTCTACGACTCAACAGCACTTAACAACAACAACTATCTCTCCAAAGTTATGGAGTATTATTTCAAATCATTGCTCTTGAATGCTGCATAGTATTTCATCTTGTGAATGTACCACAATTTCTCAATCCACTTGTTTTTGATGAACATTTGGACAAATGGTGAACAATGCTGCTGTGAACATTGGTGTACAGATCTCTGTTTGTGCCTCAGTTCTAATTTCCTTGGGGTATATTCCAAGCAGTGGAATAGCTGAGTCATATGGAATTTCTATATTCAACTATCTGAGAAAATACCAAACTGTCTTTAAAAGTGGTTGTACCATTTTACAATCCCACCAGCTGTGTATGAGAGTTCGAATCTCTCCACATCCTCGCCAACATCTATTGCTTGCTGTCACGTTGGATTTTGGCATTACCTCTAGGATGCAATAGTATCTCATTGTGGTTTTGATTTGGGTCTCTCTTATTGCCAGTGATTTTGAGCATTTCTGAATATCTTCCTCTGTAACAAGTCTTTCCATGTCCTTTGCCCATTTTGTAATTGGGTTATCAGTCTTTTTCTTGTGAAGGCCCTGTAGGATTCTGTAAACTTTTGTGGAGACCTTTGTCTGAGATGACATTGCCAAATTTTTCCCCCCTCAGTCAGTGGCTTTTCTTGACACCATGTTGGGAAAAGGTGTGATACGCACAGGGATTACGCTTCATAGGTGGCAGTGCAGCTCTTAACATTGAGCTACCACAGCTGCCCAAGGACAAACTTCAGAAGGTCCTGCTCATTGACGTTGTACTTTCCCTGTTGTGTAGAAAACATTATTTTCAAAATAAGTGGACTCACATTACATACGTGGAATCACACCGTATGTAAACTCTGGAGATGGGCTTCTCTGAGCTTCCCCCGGGTGGACGTGCTTCGGTACCTTGTTCCCTCACTGTGCTAAGTGTTCTGTGGCATGAAGGACATCTGGCTCGTGTCCATTGAGGTCATGTGATCACTTACACAGGTGTTCTAGAACCACCCTTTTCTTTCTGTGATGTGTACTCAGAAGCATGGCCTCTGGGTTAGGTGGTAACTGTGTGTTTATTCTCTGAGGTGGCCAAAACCCTTCTCAGAGTAGAGGCTCTGTTTTCCTTCCTACCAGTAACCAGGAAAGACCCAGATAACACCTGGTGTGGCCAGCATTTTTTCATTTCATTTAATACCCTTAAAGCATGGAGACTGGTAGAATACTGAGAAGCATTCCTTATCACTACTCAGACAACTTCTTCTTTTTTTTTTTAAGCGATGCACAGGGGGCCAGAGCAAAAGCTAAGTCCCCCCCCCATTTATTTCTCTCAGTATATATACAAAATACAGACATTCCATTGCTATCAAAATTGCCAAACTCCCTGCTACACAACAAACAGTTATCTTAAAGACCCTAAAATAATGAATCCAACAATTATCTCTGAGGCTGGAAAGGAATGCACCCTTGGATATCTAGGAACCAACTTTAAATTATTTACTCAGTCCTAATAAACACACAAAGAGTTTACCTCTATTTACTGCAAATTCTCAAGGACAATAGCTTCTCTAAATCTGTATTTTCCACAGGCTGTCAATGACTTTAGTTTCTCATTAATTAAGCCTTCACAGATGCTCTTCTGGGTCTTAAGAGGTCTCATGAATGCACCCTGTTTTTCTTGGGGACACATCTGCATTCTGTCTAGGAATCTATTTTCAGCTAATTTCCCGCTGAGTTTTCTCAAAGCAGTACTCTAAACTTACACACTGATAGTCAACCAAGATATAATGGTTTCAGAAACTCTCACAATTGCCCCTTTTTTATTTTTTAAAATAAGAAGTGAGAGTTACAACCTTTTGTTGGATATTCTTTTTTTAAAAAAAATTTTATTTTAGTATGTGTTTGTGTGTGTGTGTACTACCAAATCAGATTTGACTGGTACAGGAGGAGATTGTTCCTCCTTCTCCAGCAGAGCAACTGGTGGATTTGAACCGCACACCTCTGGGAGATTGCAGTGTAGCTTCTTGCCACTAGGCCACCAGAGCTCACCTGGATATTCTTTTTTGCTACTTGTCACTTGAGGATGCAGTATCCTATAATAAAGATAAAAAGACAAATTATTCATGAAGCAGAAATGCTTCCCACACGAGCTACCAAACTTTTCCTCCAAGAGCAGGGATCCATTCAGTAATATTGATACTACTTTTTGGGCAAGATTAAGGTAATTTTTTACTAACTACATCAAATATTTGTTACCTTAATTCTTGAACATTCAAGGACACATTTCATTTGTAAATCCTGTAAACGATATTTTATCTGATCTTATATGTACTTGGAAACATCATATTGGTCTGGGGTCACACAAAAGCTTGTTATATTCCAATTATATTTCATATTCAATTGCTTTTGTATGTCAATCACCTGATCTTCAAGCCGTTTCAAGGCTTTCTCTACAACCCCCAGCCGAGTTTCCAAATCTTTATCCATTTTTTTTGCACAGTCTATAATACATATGATTGATTATGCCAAGTTTCTACAAAATCGTGTGTTTGGATAGCTATTTGCTGTGCTACTCAAACTGTAGCTTCTGTAGCTGTTATTAATATTAGCCCTACAATTGAAACAATAATCCATCCTATGAATCTTCGAGGTCTACTCAACCAATTCTGAAAAATAACAGTTTCTGAAGTTGCTATAGGTATTTCCTGCCATGCAAGTGTCAAATTAACTGGAAGCCACAATGGCCTGTAAGCACTTAGCTCGATGTATCAACAGATTGATTAAATGGAACAGAACTATTCAAATATACAAGAAACAATTACTACATTCTATTCTTTGTAAAGAATGATTTTTAAAAACTGTACCAATTGCTACAACATAAGGCAATTTGACACAAGCTTGTATAAAAATGTCTGATTCTCGAGAAAAGTCATATTAGATGTTGAATATATAGTTCCAATAATATTAGTACTCCAAGAAGTCAGACAACTTCTAAAGTCACTGTACAATGGTGTCCACTTCTGTTTGTTCACCAGTAAACGGCCTGATGTCCTCACCAGCACTACCTGGCATGCTCCAGTCATCTGGGAAGGCACCTTTGATCGAAGGGTCCTGGACGACTACTACCAAAACCGCAACATCACTGTGGGTTTGGCTGTGTTTGCTGTAGGCAGGTAGGTTGTTCAACAGTAGGACAGTGTGGCTACACCTGATGGCCTTCTCCACCCAACAGCTCACTCATGACTGTCCAGAGCCGTTAGCCCCCTTTCTCCTCATCCTTGGACGGGCTCCAGTTGCTGTTGTTGTCGAGCACCACAGAGTCGGACCAGCCCGAGTTGATCCTCAGCACATTTTCAGAGGCAGTAAGTGGCTCAGGCAGAGGCTGTCCCCTCGTCCCCTCTCCACTGGAACAGCCGGTGGACTATCGGGAAATCTCATCTCTAATATCCTCCCGTCTCTTCACCTCTGTTCTGCTAAACTGAACGGCTCTTCTCAGCCCAAGGCTCACTCATGGTGTTCACCAACTAACACAGCCGAGTCCGAGTCCACCTGCTGCCCCACCCTCACCTCCTGTGTGCACTTAACAACAGCGTGCGGCCAGGTCACTGGGACTGTTAGCTGCCACTGTTCTCACTTATGGTGACCCTGCATGCAAAGTAGATGTGCTCGTACGATTTTCAAGGCTGCAACCTTTCTTTTGCCTTTTATTGTGATTTAAGCACAAGTTTGCAGAACAAGCTGGATTTTCCATTTAACCATTCATGTGCAGAAGCGGGTGACCAGGCCTTGTCTTCTGCCGTCCAGTGGGAGGGTGTGAACCGCTCCACTGCTGGCTGACAGTGGACCACAGATCGTGATGCCATCCACTGGTGGTCTCCTAACAGGAGGGCTTGGTGGCGCGGGGATTAAGTGTTGGGCTGCTAACAAAATAGTTGATGGCCACTCAGTAGGAGCCAGATAGCCGGCTGATGTCCATAAAGATCCCCAGCCTCAGACGGGCTGTCCGAGGAGCGGAGCCCGGCCAACAGGCGGCCAGCTGCCCTGAGCTTCTCCTGCGACGTTCATTCACGAAGCACTTGCTCCCCTCTGTCCTCCCCCTGCCCGCTGCACAGGTTTGTAGAGGAGTACCTGGAGTTATTCCTGCAGTCTGCAGAAAAGCACTTCATGGTTGGCTACAAGGTCACCTTTTACCTCATAGTGGATGTCTTGTACGCTTTCCCGAATGTGAACTTAGGGCCTCTAAGAACCTTTAAAATACTTAGACTCACATCAGAAGACTGGGCATCCGACCTCAACCTCACTCGCATGAGGAGCCTAGGGGCTCACATTATCAGACACATCAGTAAAGAGGTCGACTTCCTCTTCAGCATGGCTGCTAACCAGATCTTCCAGGGGGACTTTGGGGTGGAGACTCTGGGACAGTCTGTGGCTCAGCTCCACGGCTGGTGGTATTTCAGAAACACCCAGAATGCCAAGGATTTCCCCTATGAGAGAAGGCCTCGGTCGGCAGCCTGCATCCCGCTCGGAGAGGGGGACTACTACTACAGTGGGGCCATAGTGGGGGGCACGCCCCTCAAGGTCTTGCACCTCATTGATGAATACCTGAAGGGCGTTGCTCATGACACCAACAATAGACTCAACAGCACCTACGAAAGTTACCTCAACAGGCACTTCTTTCTGCACAAGCCGACCAAGCTGCTCTCCCCAGAATACAACTGGGACCCCAGATTCCGTCTCCCCAAGCAGATTCAATACGTCAAAGTGGCCTGGCTGTCACAGACGTACTGATACCCGTGCCCTTGAACTTGGGAACAGAGAACACACCCAAAAATGCCTTATCCGTTAGGACATCCTAAAGCGCTCCCCTTCCCAGAAACCCTCAGAATGTGTGTGTTTCACACTCTCCGCACGCCTGCGTCTGCCAGACCAGGAGGAAGGCCACTTCACAGCAGACCATCCACCCCTTGGGGAAGCTTCTCCTTTTTAAACATCGAAGCACTGGATTGTTGCTAGGGGAGAAGCTCAAAGAGGGACACAGTATAAATGTTTACTCTTCCAGTAGCTGCGTCTGGTCTCGTGTCTTCCAGGCTGTCCTTGGCCTTGCTCCCTCCGCCCAGTGTCACCCTGTTCACCGCCTGACCTCATGCCGGTGAACAAGAAGCATTCTGACAGATATGTAACTCCTTGCCACTGCTCAAGAGTGAGGCGGGGGTTTTAAACAAGCTATAAGCTTATTTAAAATAAATAAGTTGTGTTTGAATGAGCTATAAGCACTTTCCTTTTTTAATCAAAGCCATTTACTGATTATCAATTGTTGTCTACTTGACGACACTAAAAACAAGAAGGGAGGACCCACCCAAGACGCCTGTTGTTAGGTGCCCTTGAGTGCAGTCCACTCATAGTGACCTGTGAACAGCGCACCTGAGCCTGCCCTGTCCTGTGCCGTCCTTGTCATCTCTGCCACACTTGAGCACAGCGCTGACGTTGCCGTGTTGGTGCATCTTGTTGCGGGACCCCCTCTCCTTTGCTGACCCTGATGTCCTTCTCCAAGAAACAGCCTTGCCTACTACAAATCCCAAACATGAGGCAAAGCCTGTCACCTCCCTCCGCTTCAGGAAGCGCTCTGGCTCCGCCTTCTCCAAGGTGTGCCTGTTTGTCCTTCGACCGTCCATGGGGTGTTCAGTACTCTTCTCCACACCACAGAGTAAAGGCATCAACTCTCTGTCACTACTCATTTCCCCCATCTGGCCCTGAATTTGTACCCCACTCGGGCATTAACGAGAGGGTCACCGTGGCTGACCAGCACAATACCAGCAAAGGACCACCAAAGTGAGGGTCTCAGTAAGACAGTCGGGGCACCAACTGTCCAGGACGGATGAACACCCACAACCTCGCCAAGACCAGGAAATAACTCTAAGGAAAAAAAACAGCAGCATCAACACGGAGATCTCCCCGCTAGCAATTTATGTGACTAAGAGTTTGAGGAAGTGCCCCCGTAAGTAACTATAAAAGGAGCCCTTGGAGAGGCAGTGGTTAAGCGCTGACTGTCAGTGCAGAGGCCAGTGGGAGAGGCGACCTGTGGTTCTGTGGGAACAGGCCTGGGCGTCTGCGACCTGCAGCCCGCGTTCTCTTGGCACGGCCAGTTTACTGGAATGTTACTCTTTGAGTCTTTGCTTGGTGAGCAGCTTCACCAGCTTTGGCCTCGTAGGTGGAATCACACACCCGCTTCCCCTGTGCCATGCCCGGGACCACATGTCCTGGCCAGCTCCTGGCCAGCTCCTGGCAGAGAGTGTTCTGGGAGCTATCTGCTCATACCTGTCTCCAGTGTTTTTCAACTGAGGTCTCTGACTAATTTTCCAAGAGACAGACTGCCTGTGGGTGGCCTGGTTCCTGCCTCTCCGGGCACTGCCCGTGTAGAGAGGACGCTGACCTGTCCTTAGCTCACATGGAGGCCACCCCAGCTGCAGGTCTGGGGCTGCGAGACCTGAACTCCAGAACTCATAGGAGGCCCTGTCTCCTCAAGCATCCCAGACTTGGGTGCTGGAACAGGTCAACAGGAGTGGACAGCTAACCAGCACCAGATTCTTGGTGGAGTCGGTGCATTCCAGGAGGGGTGGGTGGGGGAGCAGCTGGGGGGCTCTTCCCTGCTGGCTGGCAGCTTTCATGTTGAAGAATGAACTCTCCCTGGGGGTTGGGAAACCTGGGGAAGGAGCTTCAAGGTACCGGTGTTTCCTCCGGCCCTGGGGCAGGCCTGCAGGACAGGTGGGCGAGGAGAAAGGAGAAGACCAGGTCCAACCTTCAGGCACTGGCCTGGGCTTCCAGTGGGGGGCAGCCACCTGCAGAGAGGAGGGGGCACAGGTGGTGATTGTTGTCAACACACGTGGTTAGTCAGCCAAGCCGGAAAAGGCAAGGCTGACCCTCCCCTTCTACCACAGCACCCATTCCTTTTAGGCCCCTCCTACCCGGCACCCACCCTCCACAAGGTTCCCCCCACAGCCCGCCCTGCCTGTCTCTGTTGCTGCACCCTGTGTCCCCCAAGCCCTGCCACCTGCCTGGGTCTCCTTTCTGGCGCAGCCTTGGCCTCTAAGGGACAAATGCTCGCTACTTTGTGCTGTTTTGGGGTCTGTGTCTGGAACCCCTGACCCACTTGCCCACATGCAGTAGGGAGTGAGGGATGCAGTGACTCAGGAGTGGGGCTGTGTTACTCTCACCCTCCTCGGGCTGCGGGGCTGGCTCTGGGTCGGAACCTCTCTGACCCACGTCCACACCCTGAGAGGAAGCCCACCTACATTCCGGTGCCCACTGGCTGGGAGCCAGCGTCACTGCTCGAGGTCCCGGCCAGGTGTCAGGTTGCAGATCTTCCCTCAGACCCACCAGCCACCTGAGGGAGGGAGGGCACGTGTGTGGCCTTACCGTCCAGGTTGAAGACAGGGGCTTTCTTTAGGTGGAAGGTCCGGACGTAGTCCAGGTACTCGCCCAGCCACTGGGGTTCCACCTTCTCTGTTCTCCCTGAAACCAGAGGGGAGCTCAGCCAGAACCTCTCTGCTCAGACCCCGCAGCCTGGTCAGGCCCTTGAGACACTGTCCTGCCCTGTCCTCCCCTCCTCCCCGCTTCTCATCTCCCCTCCTCCCCCCACCCTTTCTCTCTTCTGGGTTCCCCCATCCTCTCCCCCTCCCCTCTTCCTCCTGCACACCCCCTTTCCCTCCTCCTCTGCCCCTCCTCCTCTCATCATTCCCCCTCCCCCCTCCCTCCATTCCTGCTGAGAAGGGTCTACCTGCCAAGGTGGGTCTTCAAGGTGACTCACATCCCCTCTCACACACCGAGTAAAAACCCTCCTGCGAGCCTCCCCTGCATGCCGCCCTCCAGCTTCACTGTGCCCTCCACTGACCACCCTCCTGCTCCGGCTGACCACCTTCCCCTCCCCCCACTGCCCTCCTCCTTCATCCTCACCACCCTCCCCCTCCACCAGGATCATCCCCCACTGCCCTCCCCCCCTTCCCCTCCCAGCTCTGCTACAGGCTGTGCTCCCCCCATCCCTGCTCCCAGAGCACAGGATAACTGAGTCTTCCTCCTGTCTTCCCACACACTCTCCCCTCAGACAGGGATGAGGGAAGGTCACTGTTAAAGTGTGGTCTCAGGCTCCTAGACCATAGGGGGCGGGATTATTTAATGGGTCAGTGAAGGGGGTAATGGCTGAGATGGTCCTCCCTGCCCTGAGGGGGGATGGGGTGGAAACATCCATCTGGGCAGCTCTGAACAAGACCGGCCAGCCAGTGAATGTGGGACGATTTGGGTGTCCAGCCAGCCTTGCCACCCATCCCTGGGCTGGCCGGGCACTTACCCAGCAGTGCCCACAGGCTGTTGGTCTCGGCGTCCTGTTCCACCTGCACGTAGAGGATCAGGCTGTGGTAGTTGGTGCCCACAACTTGGACCAGCACGCTGCCACCAGCTTCAACTGGGGGAGACTGTGTATAAGCCATAGGCCAACCCCTCAGGGGTGCACTGTGCTCCCCAGGAGCCGCCACACCCCAGGCCTGCTCCTTCAGGCACCCAGTCCTAGCAGGGGGTGGTACTCACAGAACCCTTGGTATTGGCCGTACAGTCCCGTTGGGTGGACAGTGATATTCAGGTCCTGACACACCCCCTCTCCCCTGGGAAAGAGAGAGGAAGTGAGGCTGGGTGTCCCAGGGCTTCCTTAGTCCTTCCCTGTCCTGGGTGTGTGGCCAGCTCGGGAGGTAACAGTCTGAGAGCCACAATGTCCCTGAGTCTCTGTGGACCTAACCGTCCTAGACATTGTCCCTCTATGCCTCCTACCTTTGCCCGCCTCCAGCTGTTACCTCCTCCAGCTGTGATCTCCTCTACCTATATCCCCTCCACCTGTGTCCCCTCCACCTGTGTCCCCTCTGTCTGTGCCCTTCTCCACCCAGGTCCCCCTCCACCTATGCTATCTCCACCTGCCCCCTCTTCACCTCTCTTCCTCCTCTTAGGCTCCAGGACCCCATGTGGCTCCTCAAACCCTTCAAGTCAGCACCTCAAGCCCCCTCACACTAATGTGGTCACTTGGGGACCTGGGTTTGGGGACAGACCCTTGAAGCTACTGGTCACACGTACATCCAGAAGAGTATCAGCTGCAGGGCCCCACTGGCTGTCATCCGTATAGAATGCAGGGCCAGCCGCAGGGGGTCATCGGGGGACACCAGGCTGGAGCTGGTAGAGGCCAGCTGGAGGGTCAGCCAACGTCCCTGCACCTGCAGGGGGAGGACCTAGAGGTGGAGCCGACGCCTGCTGGACACTGAGGTCTGGCAGCCTGGGTGCTAAGGGACACGGAGGGCCAGGTATTACTGCCCAGCTCCTGCAAAGCCAGATGCAGGGCCTGGCGGTGGGGCCGTGGTCTCTGGGCTCCAGCTCACGGGCCCTACGGGCTGCCGTCATCACACTCCTTGCTTCTCCGGCCATGTGGGGTACACACCCTATTCCCCTTCGGGTCCTAAAGGCTCTGGGTGCAGGAGGGGGGGCAGCATCCTCATGGCCTAGGGCTGCTGTCCTGCCCTCCCACACTCCCTGCATCCCTGCCATTGGCTTGGACCCCAGGTCAGGCAGGGAGGAGGGATTCGGGGCCCATCCCAGTCCCTCAGCTGGCACCCGGGTCTTTTTCATGCTGCCACAGGCACCAGCCAGCTTTCTGGCCTCTTCTGGGACTGTCCTCAGTGGTCAGCTTGGGTGTCACTGAGAACAGGATGTGGAGGGGAGGTGACTGGGCCAGGTCCATGAGGCCTGGACAAGGGTAGGACAGTCCTGTGTCTAGAGGGGGCAGAGTGGGCTCCAGGGCTCCGCAGAGCCAGGCTGAGGCTGAAGGGTCAGACACTGCCCTCCCGGAACCCTCCTCAGGCCCGTGCACCCTTGCTGCATGTCTCTCACCTGCCAGGTGCCCTGATCCCGGGACCAGGACCCTGACCCTTACCCTCTGGGCATCAAAGCCTTGCTGCACAGGTACCTCTTCCAGAGTCTTCCGGGTACTGATCAGACCCAGGCCAAGGGTCAGTAGCAGTACTGGCCTCATCCCCAGGGCCATGTGTCCAGGCTGAGAGGGAACCCTATCCAGGCCCTGTTCTCTAAGCATCCCCACCCACATTTCTGGAACTTCCAGAAGCATCCCAGTGACTCCTCCTCCTATTTTGGGGTGCTGGGCACTGCCCCCAGCCTGGGGAGTGCCGGTGGTTGGGTTGGTTTGACGACATTGTGAGTCTGTCCTGGGACCCGTGGGGGTGGAGGGAGCTGCGGGCTCTGCCCAGATGCTGCCCCTCCTCCTGCCTGGCCTCTCAGCCATGTAACTCCCGGATTGTGGGGCCTGAGGTGACCTCACATGCGAAGGCTGACCACACTGGGACCTCATGAGGGGGTTTATCTTTATTGTGTTGGATGCTTAGACCGTCCTCTCCCTAGCCACACTGCTGTCCTGGACCAGGCCCCCAGCACTGCCTCCGGCCCCCTGCTCCAAGAGGGGTTTACCTGGAGCCCTGCTAATACTGCAGGCTGAGCCCAGATCACACTCTGGGCACTGTGAGGGTCACACAGCAGTCAGAATGTGAGGTCAAACTGTCAACTGAACACGAGGTCAGATTGTAAGCCGAAATGGGGTCACACTGTGAAGAGTCAGGCGATCATCTCTCAGGCTGGACAGGTTCAGACTGGCCCCTGGACACTCCCTGTGGGAAGGCCAGGCCTCACCTCTCCCTCAGGTGAGAGCCAGACGCCAGGACGCTGTCCTGCTGAGCGGTGAGGTGTCTGCAGACCCCTTGATTGCTCACTTCTGGGGCCTGGGGGCTCCAGACCTTATTCTCGCAGGCGGGCTGAGCCTCAGCTCATCTTCCTCCGGAGACCCCGTACGAGCCAGGGACCTCCTGGTGACCTGGAAGGGGTGGGGATCATCACGCATTCCCGTGAGGTGGCCCCCAGGACGTGGAATGGAGGCCCCACTTGTGCAGCGTTGGCTCTCATCCAGGCTGTGATGACCTCACGTGTGTCTCCTGGCACCAGGCTGCCAGGTGGACATGTGTCCCCTCTTTCCTGTCCCCACCTTACTCGGCCTAGTGGACGTGTGAAGACTCCCTCATCCTTATCCCTGCTACAGTGTACCTGGTGGACATGACCCCCTCATCCCTGTCCCCACCCCACTCAGCCTGGCAGACTTGTGACCTCTCTGGTCCCTGTCCCCTCATCTCTATATGGTGGACGTGGGGCCCCTCATCCCCTGCCTCTCCTCTTGGGGCAGAGCATGTGCACTGAGAGAGTCCCTGAGTCTGTCCCTCCCCCTGTCCCTGTATCCACCCTCCTGTGACCTGGATCTGACCCCCTCCGCACACCTCGGGATCCGGGCTGCAAGAGTGGACGTGGGGTCGTCACTGAGGGAGCAGCCCTCCAGTCTCTGCACTGATGGGTCAGGTGAGGAGGTGGCCGTGCTCCAGGCTGGTCACAGGTCCCGGTAAAGTACCACTCATGTGGACCCGGGCGGCCACGGACCTCGTGGTCCTTACTGGAAATTTAAGGGCACAGATCCCAGAAGTCAGCTGGCCTCACGGGGACCCCTGCACAGTGTGGGCGGGCCCTGTCCAGGCAGCCGAGGGTCCTCTGAGCAGAAAAGGACAGCTCTGAAGCGCAAGGTCCTCCTCCAGGCTCACCTGGGGCCCCAGCCCACCGCCCGGCCTGTCATGTTCACACTGACCAGCCCGCAGAGCCAGCCCTCCTGCCTGCTTTGGGGCTTCTACCCCTGCTGTCCCTGCGAGAGCCCCTGGCGGCGGCCTGATACCTGCCACGCTGCTGACTGAAGGTTAGCGCCTCACACCCACCAGCTGCTCCTCTGGAGAGAGCCAGGCAGTCTCTTCAGTCAGGACTGACCACCTGGGAACCTGCTGGTGGGGGTGGGGGGGAGTCAGCTGCCAGCAGGCGCCCACGTGACTGAGCGGTGTTGTTTCTAGATGGCTGTGTGCGTGTTGGTGTATGTTTGGGTGGGTGTATATATCTATACGACCTGTCAATCTCCTACAGAGCCCGGTAGCCTAGCAGTAAGGAGCTGCGCTGCCAACCCAAGGGTACATGGTTTGAATCCACCAGCTGCTCCATGAGAGAAAGACGGACAGTCTCCTCCCATGTGACTTATAACCTCTGGAAACCCACTGCAGTCATGGGACAGTCCTGACTCTACCTGTTAATCTCGGGGTGTCCTTTTATGCCCAGGCGCTAACCAGATTGTTGTTGTTGTGTAGCAGTGAGTCGGAACCAACTCACAGCCGACCCTTCTTTGGCTTTCCCGAGGCCGTAAATCACATGGGAGGAGATTGACCATCCTTCTGCAGGGCAGTTGGTAGATTTGAACCATGTGCCTTTGGGATTGCAGCACAGCTTCTTACCACTAGGCCACAAGAGCTCCTTAACTAGAATGTTAGAAGTTCAAGTTCACCCACAGGTACGTCAGAAGAAAGTCTGGTGATCTGCTCATGAGAACCCCCGTGGGGGTCTGCCTGGCATGTGGGCTGTGGAGAAGCAAGGCCACTCCGTGGTGACCGCTCTGCTCCCCCAGAGCACGCTCCCTGAGTGTGTGAACCTCCTAGGACTGGCCACCCCTCACCCTCTCGTGCCCCCGACCTGGACTTGGACAACTGTCCTCAGAGCTGGGGCCTAGCAGGGCCCCTGGACAAGCCGCTTTGAGGGATGGAGGCCGATTCCTTGAGGTGGGTCGGTGGGTTTCTGATTCTGAAGACCCTGTTCCCCTGTGGGGATGCTGGTGCTGATGACGCTGGCCCTGGAGCGCAGAACTCTTGGCCCTGAGCAGACCCTGAGTCCAGGGAGGGTCTGAGCAGCAGTGCTGGCCAAAGTGGCCCCGGCTTCTCGGGAGGCCCCCTTCTTGCCGGCTGTGCTCTGGGTGCAGGTCCCGGAGAGCCAGGGTCCCAGGCCTGCCAGGCACGGCTCCAGCACCCCTGCAACCCAGACCCTTGTGTTTGCAGCTCTACTTCTGGAGGGGGGTCACCCATGGCCCTCCTGTCCCACCCCTCCCTGAGGGCCAGATATCAGCAACAGTCACTGCAGCCAGCGTGGAATTTTATTGCATGTGGAGGAGGGGAGGATGATGCCACAGGTGTCCAGGGGCAGAAGTCCAGGATCCATGGCCCCGGGTTGGCCTCTGGCTTCAGGGTGCTTCCTCCAGGACCTGGGGGTCAGATTCCCTGGGCCTGACCACACCCTCAGTGCCCACCTCCCCTGCTGTATCCAGGTGCCCATCCAGAGCCTCGTGCTCAGACCTCTCGGCCTCCTGGTGCCTCTTCTGGAGCCCCAGGGCCTTGGCCTCCAGTCCCCAAGCCTGCCGCCTCCCCTCAATGTGTGAGTCCCCACTGTATGAAGAAGGGAGGGTGTTCCTGGCACCCCTGAGCCTCCAGCATGTGCTTCAGAGGACACGTGTGGAGCAGAGCAGGGGCCACTGGAGCTCGGGCACCTGAGTCTGCAAAGTGGAGTGGGGGGCAGCAATAGCTCAGGTCCCTGTGGTCCCTACTGGACAGAGCTGTACAGAAAGGAAGGCCTCGTAGCCCGAGTAGAGGAAGGTGGCTCTGCCTCTGGTGAGAAGGAGCAGTTCCCACTGTCCATGATACACTGCACCCCGTGGGACCACTCACTGCACCCCGTGGGACCACTGCACCCCATGGGACCATTGCACCCCGTGGGACCACTCACTGCACCCTGTGG